CGCTGCCAGGGCTGTGCCCTGGCCTGCCGGCAGCAGGGACTGCACAGAGGGAAGGGTCAGGGAGGGCAATAAAAATAGATCCCTGTGACGGTCGGTGCTGCTGGCTCTGGCTTTGAAGCGTGTTTGTGCTGTGGGCACAGCCCCAGGACTCGCCCCCACCTGCTGCCGGACACACATCGCCTCATTCCCCGGGTCAGCAGCCCCCGGACGGAGATAAGAATGGAGGGAAGGGCCCGATTCCCAAGTCAGATGCTCTGTGCGCAGCTGGTGACAGCCCTGCGGCCCCTGGGCAAGGAACTCTTGGCTCTTGGTGGCCAGGAAGGGCTGGGTGGCCATGGGCGAGTGACGGTGCTTCTCACGCCCCGGGGAGGGGGATGACCACAGGGCCCTCCTGTGGGAGCAAACTGCAGCCGGGGGTGGTTCGGCTGCACCCGCTGAGGCTCCCCGCACCCGGGGCTGGGGGCACCCAGCACCCAAAGTGGGACAAGGACTGAGGTTTTCGGTGCAAGGAGGGGGTGATCCCCCTCAGTGGGTGCCAAAGGCTGTGGCCAGGGACGGGCTTCTGCTGGGATGTCACCGGGAGCAGGACTGGCGCCGTGCTCAACCCGCTGTGCATCCTGCCTGCCCAAAGGTTGGCCGCCCCCGGAGCTCACCTGCGGCCCCGAGTCGGCCCTGCGCTGTGCCGGCACCATGGCACGGTGCTGGTGGGGCCAGCGCAGCGGCGGGCGAGCAGGATGGCCAGCCCAGTCAGCGGGGACAGGAATGAAGCAAAACCACCACAAACACGGGCTGGTCACGGAGAAGGAAGCGGCTGGGGCGGGGGGGAATTAGGGGTTCACTGCCCGGTTTCACCGAGGGGCCAGCCATGCCCGCAGGAGGGTGTTTTTGGAGGGAGGGCTGTGGCGCCAGCAGCCACCTGCCCGGATGGCCTCAGCCACCCTTCCCTGGGCGCTGTGTCGCTGTCACGGGGGCCTCAGGCCCCGCAGTCCCTCAGCATCGCTGTCTCAAGCTTCATTTGCTGCTTGCTGCTGAACTGAGAGATTTTAATCTTTTAATCACGTTATGAGCCGAGGTGGTGCCGGCCACGCACAGGAGGAATGTCTGGAAGTCAGCAGCGCCCCGCGGGGCAGGAGCCCATCCTGCCCCCACCTGTGCGTCCCCACTGTGTCCTGCTCGGGGACCCCTGTTCTCCCCAGCCCGCCCTGTCCTGCCTGGGACCAGGACTGGGACCAGGACCAGGAGCAGAATCTGGGACCAGGGACCACACCAGGACCAGGACTGGGACCAGGACCAGGCATCAGGGACCACAGCCAGGAGCAGGAGCAGGAGCAGGAGCAGGAGCAGGACAAGGACCAGTTGCCAAAAGGTAGCTGGGGCTGGAGGCCACCCCGCCACACACACATCTGATGTGCCTCTGGGGCTGGAGGCGGGGAACATCAGAGCGGGCGCTCAGGGGCATTTCCATGGACCCCACCTGAGGTGTGATTCCCTGACATATTGCAGCAGAGAAAGGGGATTGGGGTGACTTTGGATTGAGAAAAAGGCATGGAGCGGCAGGGGGTCTGGGAAGCCCGAAGGACCCAGCACAATAACCCCACCGGGAAACAAAAGCCCCTTTGTTTTTGCTCGCTGCTGGTGTTTCCTCGGTGGGGAGCTGGGGGCTGCTCTCCCTGTGCCTGCGCCCCAGCTTTTACGGTGCCGGAGCTTTTACAGCCTGTGCTGCTGCCGCTTGACCACACGCTACCCAAAAACCCTCGTGAGGCTGCAGAGTGCTGCCAGCTCACTGTCCCGCACTGTCCCGCATCTGCGTGCGTTGCCCTGTATCACCCCACATCACCCTGTATCGCCCTGCATCACCTCATCACTCTGTGTCGTTCCACATCGCCTCGTGTCACCCCCCCAGCTGTCCCCAGGCTGCGGCAGGACGGGGCTGTGGAGTCCGGCTGCGCCGGTGCACGCGGCAGCAGGTTTTGGGGGCAAGGCCAGGCAGCCGTCGGGGGGAGAACGCATTTCATGAAATGTCTGTCATGTGGGCATAATTAAAGCTTCTCGTTATCACGGTGTTAGCGGCAGCGAGGGGGATGCTCTCAGAGGGGCGCCTTTGCAGGAGGCCCCACGGCGGCAATTAGGCGATGCTGCCCTCCAGCCACGTGGGTTTAATTACTCCCTTCCCTGTGTTTTCTTCCCGAGGGGAGCGGAGGGGCGTCCCGCAGCCCAGTCCGGCGCAGCGAGGCAGCGCAGAGCCACGGCAGCCCCCGCCGAAGAACAACAAAGCCCTGGAATTAGAGATGTGCTGGGAGTTTGCTTTACTGGAAAAAAATGTCAGAAATCCGTATTGTTTGGACAGGGATTTGCTGTGGATCGCTAGATAAAAGCCTGGCAGGGACCCAGCCAGGGGGAAAAAAGTCAGCCAGCTCCTTTCTTGTGGCGGGGATGTGCGGCCAAGCGAGGGATGCACCGCACCGCCGGTGCGGGGGGTTTTGGGGTGCAGTGTGGGGCCGGGGCAGGGGATGCCAGGCTGCGCTGTGCCCAGCACTGGCTTT